AATATGGCACAATTTTATTTCATACAACAAATTATTCAGGCCTATTACCTCCCCGACCAAAATTCCCATTCAAAGCCTCGTCTTTTCTAATAAAGCAGAAGTTCGACAGGAGGCTCCTCAACCGTAAACACCGTTCATAAAACAATATATAACAAGGCCGGTTTTAATATAAAACCCGTCAAAATATATATTTGAACCCGCTAATATATATATATATATACGAAACCTTGCCTACGGCAAATATATATATATATATATATATATATATATATATTCCGTTCGGTATTTATCATTATCACCCACGGAAACGAATTGTTCTTTTTATTATTTAAAAAATTTCTCGTTAGTTTTCAGGCCCGTTATATTTGCATCCCCTATTTTTTTCAAACGCGTTGACACGAATAGACCGCGAAAACGCCGTTGTCTTTCTTTGTTGCGGAAACGAAACAAAAGGCCGGTATTGTGGGTTTCAGAATCCGCCATATTTGACCGATTAGTCTTTCTCCTCCCCGGACATCATTTTTTTCCGGCAATTGTCTTCTCTCAGTTGCAGATGACTCTTCCTACTTTGTCTGTCTTCGGTATTTACCTTTTTACCCACGGAAAGAATTCACAAGGCCGGTTTTTTGTTTTTTCTCCGATCTGCCTCGATTGAAACGGGTTCAGTATTGTTAAACGAAACCTGTCTGCAAAGCTTTTAGCCCAACGCATTAGTTCGACAGAAGGCGTGCGCAGTCAGAGACCGCGTCAACACCGTTCAGTATTTCCCGTTCCACCCAAGGACTGACAGAAGGTGCGCAGTCAGAGACCGCTATCACCGTTCGGTACAAACCCACGGAAACGAATATGGCAGATCCGGTTTTAAATTAATTTCCCAGACCCTGTAGTTTCGGCCAGAAAAAATACCTTTGAATAAATTAGACGGGTTCAGGCCCCGTCTACGAAACCTTGCCCTCAATATCTGGGTTTTCTATCGGCAATCTGCGCAGTCAGGAGAAACACCGTTTTTTTCGTTCCAAAGGCCCGATCTTACGTGCGCAAAATAATCAACACCGTTCGGTACTTAATTTCACCGACGAATAATATGGCAAACCGGTTTTATTGTAGATATAGCCCGATAATCGGCCAAAAAAATAGCATTTTAAAGCCGATTACGATTCAGGCCCTTTCTCTTCTGTCGAAACCTTATAAAACATGATTTCATGCAGAAAATAAGCAGTCTTCGTATCGTTCAGGATACCGCTGTCAGAGACACCGTTCGGTACTTTATTTTCACCCACGGAAACGAATATGGCAAAGGCCGGTTTTATTGTGGGTTTCTCCGAGCCCGGAGGCTTGCCAAAAAAATAGCCTTTCATTTTAGACGGGTTCAGGCCCTGTTTCGTCTACGAAACCTGCCGGCAAAGCCTCAGCTCATGCAGAGAGTTCGACAGAAGGCGTGCGCAGTCAGAGACCGCTCAACACCGTTCAGTATTTATCGTTCCAAAACAGAAGTCAGTCGGAGACTACCGTTATCTATCTATCACCCATCTATCTATCCGGTTTTATTGTGGGACCCGTAGGCTTAGAAAAATAGCCTTGAAGCCGATTAGACATAATGGGACGAAACCTTCCATTGGCAAAGCCTCGTTCAGTTCAGCTCATGCAGAGTTTGACAGAAGGCGTGCGCAGTCAGAGACCGCTCAACACCGTTCGGTATTTAACATTTCACCCACGGAAACGAATATGGCACAAGGCCGGTTTTAGTCAGTCAGTCCGTGTCGGCCAAAAAGTAGCCTTTGAAGCCGATTAGTCGCGTTCTGGCCCTTACTACGAAACCTGATTGTTCCTACTAACACTTTCGACTTCTCTGTATATATTTCAGTTTTGTAATATATCTGTTCGGTTATTCCATAAACGAATTCACAGTTCTTTTTTATTTTCTCCGATCCCGTTCTACCTTTTGACTATCAGGCCCTGGTTCAACGAAACCTTGCCATTTGAAAAGCCTCGTCCGGGTTCACTAATCTAGAGTTCTAAGAAGGCTGCGCATTCAGATCAACACCGTTCGGTATTTATCATTTCACCCACGGAAACGAATATTTCACAAGGCCGGTTTTATTGTCTTTTCTCTCCCTCTCTCTCTCTCCGATTAGACTTCTCCCTCTCTCTCTTGCCCTTCGGCAAAGCCTCGTCTCCTCTCTCTAAAGCAGAGAGTTCGACAGGAGGCGTGCGCAGTCAGAGACCGCTCAACACCGTTCAGTATTTATCGTTCAGAGGACCGTATTTTGCACAAGGCCGGTTTTACCGTGGGTATCCCCCGAAGGCAAACGCCTTGAACCAGCCTAGACGGATTCAGGCCCTGTCTACCTCCCAGGACGAAACCTTGCCCTTCGGCAGCTGTCCCTTCCTAAACGCAGAGTGTTCGACGAAGGCGTGCGCAGTCAGAGACCGCTCAACACCGTTCGGTATTTATCATTTCACCCATAAATATGGCACAAGGCCGGTTTTATTGTGGGTATCTCCATATAGGCTAAAAAAATAGCCTTTTAAGCCGATTATATATTCAGGCCCCATCTATACGAAACCTATATCGTCAGTCCTAGCTAACGCATTCGACAGGAGGCGTGCGCAGTCAGAGACCGCGAAACGCCGTTCGGTTTTATCACTACGGAAACGAATATGGCACAAGGCCGGTTTTTATGTCGGGTTTCGCAAGCCCCGTAGGCTCGGCCAAAAAAAATAGCCTTTTGAAACCGATTATATTCATATATTGGACGTATGCCCTTCAGCAAAGCTTCATTTATTCAACGCAGAGAGTTTGACAGAGGCGTGCGCAAAACCGCGAAACGCCGTATTTATCTTTTGACCCACGTTCAATATGGCACAAGGCCGGTTTTTGTTTTCGTTAAATTGGCCAAAAAATATTTTAAGCCGATTAAACGGGTTCAGGGGTTCGAAACCCTTCGGCAAAGCCTCGTCTGGTTCCTCTCAAGAGATGGATTCGTCCAGTCAGAGACCGGGAACGCCGTTCGGTATTTATCATTTCACCCACGGAAACGAATATGGCACAAGGCCGGTTTTATGACAAAGCCCGTAGGCCCGGCCAAAAAATAGCCTTTGAACCCGCCTAGACGGGTTCAGGCCCTGTCTACCTCCCCCCCGACGAAACCTTGCCCTTCGGCAAACGTCCGGGTTCCTCTCTGCTAACGCAGAAAGTTCGACAGAAGGCGTAAATAGACCGCGAGGCTTTTCGGTATTTATCTTTTCACCCACGGAAAGAATATGGCACAAGGCCGGTTTTATTGTGGGTTTCCCACCCAGGCTCGGCCAAAAAATAGCCTTTTGTAGCCGATTAATTCAGGCGCTGTGTATTCCCTTCGGCAAAGCTTCGTCCGGTTCCTCTCTGCTAACGCAGAGAGTTCGACAGGAGGCGTGCGCAGTCAGAGACCGCGAGGCACCGTTCGGTAATCTTTTCACCCACGGAAAAGAATATGGCACAAGGCCGGTTTTATTTTCCCCGTAGGCTCGGCCAAAAAAAAATAGCCTTTTGAAGCCGATTCCATTCAGGCCCCCGATCCCCGGACGAAACTTTTGCCCTTCGGCAAAGCCTCGTCCGGGTTCCTATAAGAGTTCGACAGACGTCCGCAGTCAGAGACCGCGACACACCGTTCTGCCAGAATTGCCACTCACTATTATTATCTATGGAGAGTCCATATATATATATATCCGATGCGATGAGAACGAAAGTATATATTTACAACGTTCAGCATTAATCAAAAGAGGGCTCGAAACCGATAGTAAATAATATCGACAGTTTTAAACCCGACAATGAATATTCGTTTTGGTGCATTTCAACGCATAATAAAGTTTAATTCTTTTAAAAAATGGTTTTGTTATATGATTTATAATAAATGAATATATATATAATATATATATATATATTTTATCCGATGAAAGGAATTATAAACAAACTAACAAATTTAGATAATAAAAGAACAACAATTATTTCATACAACAAATTATTACTTTTGACCAAAATCTCTTTTCAATAACTTTAACAAATGGCTCCTCAACGTAAAAGATAAATAAAACAATATATAATTACAATATAAAACCTCAAATATATATATTGACCACTATTATATATATATATATATATTGACTACAAATATATATATATATATATATATATATATATATGTACGAGATGGATCATTATATTTGTAATTGTTGTTCTTTTATTATTTAAAGATTTCTCGTTAGTTTGTTTATATTTGGATCCCCTATTTTTCAATACGTTGTACGAATAAATATTGTCTTTCTTTGTGCAAACGAAAGAAATTAATACCGCAATATCAGAATCCGCCATATTTGACCTGACTTTCTCTAGCATCATTTTTTGCTATTGCTCTCTCAGTTGTAATGTCTCTTCCTACTTTGTCTGTCTTCATAACCTTTTATTCATAGTTTTTACTTTTTCATCTGTCTCGATTGAAACTGGTGTATTGTTAAAGATGTCTGCACTTTTAGCCCAGCATTATTGTGCGTACACCGCAATTTCCCGCCAGATAAGCAATGTTGTCGACAACTATCATGCAAAGAGCAAACAATTAGATCTAAAATTAATTCCCAGACATAGTTTCGGCGAATACATTGAATAAATTCGCAATGCTTTATATTCAATATCATTTTTCTATCGGCAATCTGCACAGAACTGTTTTTTTTAAATAAATCTTACGAAAAATAATCCAGACGTGTCAATGAATAAAGACAAACCATGCGTAGATATAGCAACGATAATCGTACGTGTTACTTTGAGTCACCAAACGATCAGCTATTTCTCTTGTCTGTCGAAATTTATAAAACATGATTTCAAGAAAATAAGTTCTTCGTGTTTAATAGCTGTTATCGCTCTTACCCAATATTGATGGTTTTTTTTTTCCTAAACTTTTATTTGAAGTAGTGTTGAAAAAAGA